GCTTAAAAACAACCTGAACCATTGGTATTATCAAGTAAAATGTGCCTTTACTGTAGTTCAGGCATTATTAGTACAAGTGATTAAATAAATGAAAAGGCCTAAATCCTCAGAAGTGCAGACAGTTACCAGTTCCTAAACAGTGTTACTAATGCACGTGGCATTATTAGCAGTGACATAATGTAGTTCGTATTAATCATAAACTTTATCTTTTTCCATATGTCATAACAGGTGACACTACAATAAGTAGGTTTTAAAATATTAGGTCACAGCTTTCATTTAAGAGCATTAATTTGTTACGTGTTGATTCGACCTTTTGCAGTTTTCTACACATCTATAATACAGACCCATACAGGATCCTAAAATTACAACAGGTGTAAGATTCATCACTGGTTTAGGACTAAGAATGCAGAAGCATTTTAATAATAATACTATTATTATTATTATTATTATTATTATTATTATTATTATTATTATTATTATTATTATAATATATTTTTAATAAAAATACATTTTTAACTTATTTTGACTCATTTAACATATAATTTATTAGCAGTAATTTCTTGTGTCATTGGGCTTGAAACTTTACTAAAACTGACTGCTCAGAGTAAAATATGCTGACACAGTGAAAGCTAAACAAAGACACCGAGTTAGACAAATACAAGGATACAAGGAGCTCTTATCCATTTACCTTTAAGAGTTAGACAAAAAACACATTTTGTGAACTGATGAGCATGAGCATATAGTGCAAAGACTACTGGAATAAATGCTACATGGACAGAAAGTTGTAGGTTTTCAACCAGTTTTGTTGTTTGGATTTTATGTACATAACCTTTTTATTGTTATTGTATATTAAAAAATATTTTAAAAAATCTTTAAAAAAAATCTGAAGCCAGATGGAATAAATATATCCTGGGTATACCGAACTTGCTTCATAGTACAGGGCCAATGACTCTCTGCCTGACTGAGGCTTCAGAATTTTCCCAGCAACTATCATCAACCTCGAGCAACCAAACACAACCAGTCAGGAACTAGTGATGGGATTTTAGGCTCTTTTTGAAGAACCGGCTCTTTCGGCTCGGCTCACTAAAAAGAGCCGGCTCTTTCACAAAAAGAATTACTAATGTAAAAGAAAAAAAAAAGTGGTTTTATTTATATATAAATATATACAGTGACCCCTAGAGACAAAGCACATACAAACTCCAAAAATCACGTACAAACTCCAAAACACATTTCTAGCATTAACTGAACTTCCAAACCAGAGCTACCTAGATCACTTAAATTACACAATTGAAAGCACATGTGTATTGTGTGTGTGTATTTATACACAAGCACTCATATATGTTCAAATAATTGAAAAAAAAAAAAGTTCATTTACCTGTTACTACCACACACCAAATCCGGTTGTTGGTACTTGCTGGATTGTGTAGCCTCTAGGTAACAAAAGCTCAACACTGCGCCCAGCATCCTGGAGCACTTCTGTTGTGTTTTGTATGTGTTTTGGAGTTTTTATGTGCTTTGTCTCTAGGGGCCACTGTAAATATACTTTTATTTATTCACTCCACATAAAATGTAATAAATAAATCATATAATACAAAAACCAACTATTTACATTTCAACTTTTAACTATTTAAATTTTCAGCTTTTTCCTTTTAAACAAATTTAAAGTGAAACAACACAAAACACTGCAAACCACAACACAATTAAATATAAATTAAAATACGAAAACAAAAAGAAGATGCACATTCTCTGTCATATGGGCCTGCATGAATAAACTTTCTGAATCCTTTATCATCCGCAAATGAAAATAGTTGTAGATGATTACTATACCTTTCTAATGTGACGTTGTTGTCCCTGGCTCTCTTTCCCTCCCGCTCTGTTCCTGTGCTACTGCGAGTGTAACTACTGCCCCTCCCCCCTCTACCCAGGGCAAAGCACAAGGCTCGCGTGCGGAGTGAAGCGGAAAAAAAGTGCGAGAGAGAGGGTGAGAGAAAGAAAAAATAAACCCACGGCTCCCAATAAGGAGCCGGCTCGCATCATTCACTTCAATGAGTTGGCTCTAAGAGCTGTTTCGTTCGCGACCGACACATCACTATCAGGAACACTCATTTTTCGCTCATGACCAGTGGCTACAAGATGATTGTGGACTGGTCTTTAGGCCTGAGTGACTGGGGCCTTATTCACTTGATCCTACATTGTCACCATGATTGTCCAAAATGGCAGACAACTTAATGTCACATCTCTATAAAATCTCAATACATCACTATCACCATGACTGTAATAATAAACACAAAGTAGAATTGCCAACTTTCTGACATCAAAGACTCAAATTACTGAAGCTTCATATATGCTGTATTAAACTGCATTAAACTTAAGAGCTGTACCAAATAGCTGTAAACATACAATTAATTGGGGTGGGGTCTTTTTGGTAATTTTGTGGGAAACCTCCATATAACACTTCCTTTATATTACCACATCAGTATTTGTACAATGATCCTATATAGTGACTCACTAAATCATAGTGATTTATTGAACAAATTTTATTGTTACACACTGTATTTATCAGTACAACACCTCTCACCTGCTCAACGTCAGGAACAGGCAGCAGTTGAGCCAGTCGACAGTAGAACTCCCAAAACAGCGTCTGCAGATCACGGTCATACTGAGATCCAAACTCTGCAGGAAAGACTTCCTGTGATAAAAACAATGTTACTGGAACCCAAATAAAAACCACACCCAGACACTGCAGCAGTGTAATATATTATTTTAACATTTTAACCCCTAAAAATAATACATTTTGGATATTTTGTTTCTGTCATCATTATTATCTTTTATGGCATTTTCATTCATGCATTCTTAATTACAGTAAACAATAAAGAACATGGTGTATTGTAGCTTGATAACAATAATGACAACAGAAATCTGCTTCATATGAAATTTACTGTCACTACAAATAACACAATTGGGTGCATTTGGTTTAACGGGTTGTAAATTATGCTGCCTCACCATGAAAAAGTCTTGTCTCTCTTCAGGGTCTTTGAGGAGAGTCTGAATCAACTCAAGAAAGGTAACTGTAACATCCTCTTTTGAGGCTTCTATCTGCAACACATGTATAAAAATTATGTTCCTCATAAAGCCATGACTAAGTGGATTAAGGGTCAAACACAGGTGTGCTGAATATGAAAACTTAATCTGTGTATAAACACTCACATCTACCAGGGTGGTGTGCGACGATTTAACCTTGTCCAGGTAACGCATGATAAACTCAGGTTTCACAAGGTCTTCATTTCGACACAATTCAAGAATATACTGTTTAAGGGGAAGAAAAAAAGTAGAAAAGCCCTTTGTTCACAGCACAGTTTACTAGTCATGTAGTTTATCTGCATCCATGAGGGTGATGAGCCTAAAGCCTTATTTTTTTTAAAATAACTATCATTAGTACTCACTCTAGCTCTTAACCCTAGGTTCAGTTGAGTCCTGTATTTGCACATTAGCAGCTCAGGGACCATATCCACCACCAATGAGACAAACTCTGCCACCTTCCAGTAGTTCATCACGTCCTGTTTCTTTAGCACCTGCCACATTGACGCTGTCATAAGCTGCAAAGGAGATACCAGAAGGCGCAGTGATGCCAGAGGTAATGAGTCACCTGTAAAGAAAAAGAAACCACTGAAATCTGTACTTCCATTTATGCTTAACCAAAAGCCCATCGTTTCAGACTATCCAGTTTTTTTGTTGTTTTTTTTTTTTAAAAAAAAAAAGGTTGCATGTCCTGTAAAATTTAATTAATAACAATGAAATGTAATTATGCAAATAATTTACATCTTATATTTAATTGAGAATAGGACAAAAATTGTATATAGACACCATATTGGAAAATCACATTAGCTTGTGATGTTAACGATTACATTACACCAAAATATATATATGATTTTGGGATGTAAACTTTAAGTTATCATTTACAGTTACTTCCGAGACATTATGTGATTTTTTTGTATTGAATAATAAAAAACGGTATAATCAATAAAACAAATATGGTGTTAGACAATAATATTATGTAGTTCACAGTGAGCAAAAGCGTTTTCGTTCATTACCTACTGGAGCTTTTTGTTTTTGAATGCAACCTCCAAGTGAATGTTCAACAACAACAATGTTTCTCAAACTCCGTTACCTTCATTTCCCCCATGTTTGCTACCTAGTCTGTACATTCAGCATTCACGTTCATAAGACATGCTGTAAAATTATTTGTCAAGGTAACCTTAGCACACAGGAATAAGACAATAAGCTAGCATACAGAGCTAATTTCAAAGGTATGTTGTATACTTAAGCTAATTTTGCTAGGAACGAATCCCTAAATGTCTGCGTTAACCCAACTGTGACCTGCTCCTAATTGTTTAGAAAATGTGTTTTAGTGTGTTAAGTGTTCCTCCACAAACCGACCTCTGGAGGTGGCCATTAAAACCCCTGAATCCATCTTCTTCTCGGATCGGTGCTGAAAAGTTTGATTAGCTGCTATTAGCTGTTAGCCTGACAACTACCCACACAGCCAGAGGAAGACACAGCTCTGAACGCGGTCGTTATCCAACTGGAAGCTCTTTTCTAAATTAAGCGAGCTGCTAGAGGAAAAACGTATGAATATTAAAAACACACATATTTACATCATACATGTTGCATTTTTGTTGCTAAGGGCTTCTTCTTCTTTATATATATATTTTTTTTACGTTACGTTACATTCTTCGTCTTGTTACCGCCATCTGCTGGAGATTCTTTGTATAACGTCCCATGTTCCCCCAAATAAACTTCTTTTGCCCCCCACCCCCTTGTTGTTGTTGTTTTTTTTACAAATAACACTGATGACAAATTATTATATTTCTAAACTTAATATTTTCATACACATAATTTAGACCTCATAGAACTGAATCCTTGGGGCTATTTCACACTCGTTGACATTACAAAGTCCCAGACACCACCACACAGCTGTGATTATGAATGACTGGCTCATATTAAGCCGCACGACGTCTTCATGGAGTCTGCTGAGTGTGTTCCGTCGGCTCTGGGGCGCTTACCTTTCAATAACACCGTATTGAAAAAACTACCAATAGATGACTCGGACCAACCCGGGTCTCGGGTGGTGCCAGAGGCTTGTTTCTCCCGAATTCGGGCTCTCCAACCGCTGGTCCGACCTGTTTTTGTGGCACTATCACAGTCAGCGCTCTCGCTACTGGGCCTGAGTGCGCAGGAGGTGCTCAGCGATCCTCTGGGTCCGGAGTATATGAGTGGCTCCAGGCTGTTGCCAGGCTCCGAGCCAGCGGCGCACTGCTACAGCGGGCACCAGTTCGGGCTGTTTGCGGGTCAGCTCGGAGATGGGGCTGTGATGTATCTCGGTGAAGTGGAGTCTTGTGCACACGGGAGATGGGAGGTTCAGGTGAAAGGCGCAGGAGTCACACCTTACTCCAGGTATTGTTTGCTTCCCACATATGTGGACACCACGTTTTGGGTTGTCTAGACCAAAATACTAATCTCAGTTTTCAAACATTATACAGACTCATCTCATGGACAAAGTTGATATTTATACATCCGGGACCGTTTTTCTTCTTGCTAAATGATAAATAAGGTCACTTCAGTAAGTGACATAGCAAACATTAGTATAGCTCACGTGAAAGCGTTCACCCGGGCAGAGCTGCTTAAGAGATTAACTGCCTGGCACACATTAAATGCTGCTCAATAGCTGTGTGCCTGTTACAAATAAGCGCACCCAGCCTTTCCATCTTATTTGATTAGTGTAGGGGTGTTCAATTAAATGTTAAGGAGGTTAAACAGAGAAAGTTCCCTCTAACAGAGGTCGAAATAATCATACTATTCCAAAAGTGTTATATGCACAGCAAACATCTGACTGTCAACTAAAAGAAAGAAAGTAGCTATAATTCAGCAGTCTTAATCCATTATTTATTATTATTTTCACACTGACCTGGGGGTAAAGAGCTTTTGAAAAGGTTTTCTTCAAATTAAAAATAAATCAGTAAATAAATAACAAAAGGATGTAGTTTTTCAATCTTTCCTAACCACATTTCTAGCACTCGAAGAAAAACTTTTTTCCCATGGCTTCCCAGTGGATGAAGTTAGCTTAAAAAAAATCACCTTTAAGGACCATTGGATGCAGCTGAAGTTAAGGGGGAAAGCCCCTCTCAGATTTTAAGAATTGTGCTAGTATTATGACTTGATTGGAATTGATCATAAATTATCTCAGCCTTTGTTTGAGTTGCTAAAATAGCTTGGCCACTTGATGGTTACTGAGAGCTGAATAATCTGACATATTTTTGGATTTTCTCAGAGACGGCGATGGCAGGAAGGTGCTGCGCTCCAGCATCAGAGAGTTCCTTTGCAGCGAGGCCATGGCTGCCTTAGGGATACCCAGCACTCGAGCAGCATCCCTTGTTACCTCTGACCTTTATGTCAGCAGAGATCCACTCAACAATGGCCAACGCATTCTTGAGCGCTGCTCAGTTGTCCTTCGTGTCGCTCCTACATTCATCAGGTTGCCACACAGGAAGCAGTATAGAGAGAAAAATATAAGTAATAATGGTGTTTTTAAAAAACAGATGCTATCATGGCTCTTTCTCTCTTTTTTTTTCATTTTTGAAGGTTTGGCTCTTTTGAAATCTTTCTGGGCCGAGATGAATTCTCAGGTCTGCAGGGTCCCAGTGCCGGGCGGGATGATATCCGTGCTCAGCTGCTGGATTATATTGGTGGCACTTTTTATCCTGAAATTCAGCAGGCTCACAGCATCCGGAAAGACAGGAATTTGGCTTTTTTCAGAGCGGTGAGAACTAACAAAAATTTCACGTGTTTTACTCTCCGTTTAGGTTGGTTCATTCCATGCTGGTGTGTCAGTTTTCAGTTTCTGTTTATTTTCAGGTGATGACGCAAACTGCTAGGCTAGTGGCCCAGTGGCAGTGTGTTGGCTTTTGCCATGGTGTCCTTAACACAGACAACATGAGCATCCTGGGTCTTACCCTGGACTATGGCCCCTTTGGCTTCATGGAGAGGTATGCAGCGGAGAGTAGAAGCCTTACAGTCTAACTCTGCAGTGTTTGGAGGCATAGTAACTGAAAATTACATTCTGTGCTTGTATTATATGATACATGATGACCGTCTTTCTGTGTGTCAGATTTGATCCAGACTTTGTCAGCAATGCCTCAGACAAAAAGAGGCGCTACTCGTACCAAGCACAGCCATCTGTGTGCCGCTGGAACCTGGCTCGCCTAGCTGAGGCGTTGGGCTCTGAGCTTGATCCAGCAGAGGCAGGAGCCGTCCTGGATGAATTCATGCCCACGTATAAGGCGTTCTACCTATCTATCATGAGGAAAAAGCTGGGCCTTGTAAGAATAGAAGAGGTAGAGGACCGAGAGCTTGTATCAGATCTGTTGCGTGTCATGCACAACACAGGTAAAAAAAAAAAAGGATTCTTGGAAGCCTAATCATTAAGCTACCTATATGTCCTCTCCCTCTCACTCTGTCACCATTGTGCCTTGGTATTATGCCTTCCAGGTGCCGATTTCACAAACACCTTCCGCTTGCTGAGTCGTGTCCCCTGGCCTGAAGAGGGCGATAGTGAGAGAGCCACTGTGGGCTCAGTGGTGGACCTCATCCTAGAGCAGTGTGCCTCTATTGAGGAGCTAAAGGTGGCTAATAAGCCAACAATGGAAGATCGGTGAGGGGGTGTATGGTGGCTGATGTTCTTTTCATAGAACAACCAGAACATGTATATAAGATCTGCCAATTGCCCACCATATACTCCCAATGTTACTCGAATCCTTGCTTACCACTGTAGTTTCAAATCGTTACATCTGTTCTTCTTTTTATATGCTAGCAATTCGGGAGCCAATCTTACCAGGATAATCTGTAAGTTAAAGCTAAGTTTTCTGGTATTTTAAATGGGTATATTGTGGAAGACTCTAATATGTATATATGGAAAAACCAAGAAGCACTAGAGGTGGACTTAACCCTGGAGAACCCATGGGGTCAGAGCCGACCCCATTGGTTTTCTAGGGAAACCATGGGGTCAAATTTGACCCCAGGGTTAAAATGAACTTTAAACATAACCATGTCTCTTTTTAGTGAACTGGCAATGATCCTGTCTCTGGCACAAACCAATCCACTCATGTATGGCATGGTGGCAGACAGCCCAGGTATGACCGAACAGCTTGAATTATTGGGCCGACTCAAGGAGCTCGTCGAGACCAACCAAGATGACCTTAAAAGGAAGCAACGTGATGACTGGATCCACTGGATTGGTCGATACAGGTATGAAAAGAAAGCCAGAATTTTTTTTTATGGCTTCTACAAAAGCGGCTGGTGCAGCACATTAATTGAAAAACTGATTTGGTCCCTAGATCCCCCAATCTGCAAGAGCACTGAGGGTACTTGTGATTGATTGTGTTGCACTCTGATTTGTTGGAATAGCATCGCTGATGAATGTTTACCAGAAAAACTGAAAAGAAGATGCAAAACAAAAGAATAATTGTTGTACTCTACATCAGCGGTCTCTAACCTTTTTTGCACCATGGACCGGTTTATGTTCAGCAATATTTTCACGGACCGGCCTTTAAGGTGTAGCGGATAAATACAGCAAAATAAAACCAGTATAAAACCAAAAAAAATTTTTTTTTCATAACACACAGGAAAAGACCCAGGGAAACACAGTTAACAATAAAAACGATAAAAACCATGAATTTTACACCTGAGCCTCAACTTTCGTGGCCCGGTACCAAACGACTCACGGACCAGTACCGGTCCATAGCCTGGGGGTTGGGGACTGCTGCTCCACATCCAACTCATTTTATATTGTGGGCAGCACACATCTTCACACACCCCCGTTCTCTATTATCCATTGGGGCGGATGGGCTGGGAGAAGGTGTTAGCTGTCCAATTGGGGTCTGGGATGTGAGGCCTCCCTGCTGCTGCAGAGCTGGGGGCAGTCTGCTTGCCTCCACCCCAGGGGAAAGGGTAACACCTCCTGGGTCTCCTGGGTGTGGTTTCCCCCTCTGGGGGCGAGGGTACCTGGACCTGGGGTATAGAGTATGTTTGGGGAGTGTGATTGTGTGTGCAATATGTATTTGTGTCTGTTTTTACATTGGGTGAGTGCCAAGTGTTTGTATATGTGTGCATGAGGGTGGGAATGCACATTTGTGTCTGTGTGTGCCTGTTTGTCTGTGTCTATATGTCAGGTCGGGTCTCAGACTCCACCTCTCTGGGAACATCTCAGGCCCTCCAAAGTATGGAGGCCTATCTCCCCTCACCACACTCCCTGCTGGTTGCTGATGCCCTCAGGCGTGGCACATACAGTCCTGCTGTGCACTTATGGGAGAGGGGTTATGTCAAGGCCTTGAATGGATGACCTCCAGAGCCGGACTCAGATAGCCCATTCCTTTGCCATTAATGGCCTGACTACCTTCAGCACCGCTGGGATGGAACAGCATTATTTATTTTATTTTAATTTATTATTTATTTATTAAAATGTTGGTGGTTCTTGGTGTCTGGGGCTGGCTGCTCAGGTATGTACTGGCTGGATCTCCTCCATGCCTGCTTGATGCCCTGGGGGACGGAGCTATGTCTCCCTACACCATCTAGTAGATCATTACATGGAGAAACCTTTTGAATACAAGCGCGGTCATCCACACAGGTGTGCACACAGGTGTGCACTGTTCATAGACACAAACTACACCTTTCTTGGCTGCTACCTCAAAGCACATTGTGCTGTTGGTCCTGCGTGCTGCAAAACAACATTCAATATTTAGTATTTACTGTTATTTACACTTAGCTAGATTAATGCGATGGTGTTGTGTGGCCTCTCCCTTAGAGATAGGGTGAGAAGTTCGGCCATCCGGGAGGGGCTCAGAGTAGAGCAGCTGCTGCTCCACATCGAAAGGAGCCAGGTGAGGTGGTTCGGGAATCTGACAAGGATGCCCCCTGGGCGCCTCCTGGGTGAGGTGTTCCAGGCATGTCCCACCAGGAGGAGGCCCCGGGGCAGACCCAGGACACGCTGGAGAGATTATATCTCTCGGCTGGCCTGGGAACGCCTTGGTATTCCCCCGGATAAGCTGGAGGAGGTGGCTGGGGAGAGGGAGGTCTGGGCCTCTTTACTTAGGCTGCTGCCCCCGCGACCCGGCCCCGGATAAAGCGGATGAAGATGGAGATGGATGGATGGTGTTGTGTTTATTATGTTGTGCTTTTTTTTTTTTTTTTTTTTTTTTTTTGCATGTTTTCTGTCTTTTTTTTCTCTCAACGGGTGATCCGGGAGATTTTCTTTCTTTTTAAGTGTCCTTTCTCACTGTCCCTCTTCCCCTCTGTTTTTCCTTTTCCTTCATCTTTCTTTCTTTCTCCCTTTCCTATCCCCCAGACATGTCTGTCCCGTTTGTAACAACTGAAAATAAAATAAATAGTAACAACAAAGGTTGATCAAATGGACCAATACAGCAAGGCCGTGATTTATCTATCTATCCATCCATCCAATATGAAACAAAAAGCTTTTTCTGCTTATCCAGTTCAGGGCTGTAAGGTGGCTGGAGCTGTGAAAGGCTGAGTACATCCTGAACAGGTTTCCAGTCTCTTGCAGAGCTCACACAGAGAGACTGGCAACCACCTGGGCTCACATTCACACCTAAGGGAAATTTAGAATTGCCAGTTTAACCAAACATGTATGTCTTGGGACCATGAAAGGAAGCTAAAGTACTGGAAAGAAGCCACATATAAATAGTACATGCAAACACCGCACCACAGTGCTGCCTAGCTAAATATCTGTTCATGCTTATTTACACAATGTTTCAGATTGTATGAATCAGCAGGAATATCTGTTTTACCCCCATCATTTTTCTACCATCTTGCTTTTTTATGTGTTTAAATCTCAGGATGCGTTTAGGACGGGAGTGTGATAGCACAAGTGACTTACCTGTTATCATAAAGGAGCGACTCAAAGTGATGAACGGCATCAACCCCCGTGTGGTCTTACGCAATTACATTGCTCAGAATGCAATTCAAGCTGCAGAAAAAGGAGACTTCTCTGAGGTTAGGCAACTTTTTTTTTTTTCATGAAACTTTAATGTAGTCCTTAAGTAGTGAATTTCTCATTGAAGTGCTTGTTTACCTCAGCATTATTGTTGGAATTAATTGAAGTGAGTACAAGTCAGTTAAATTGAGTCCGTCACTAGGTGGAGAAAAACATGTTTCAGTCATCACCTGCCTTGTTGCATGTCTAGCAGCTGTTTCATTTCTTTGAGTGAACTTATTGTACCTCCAGTTACAGGTCATTTAAAGGTTATTATCAATGTGTCCTGCAGATTGTTAGGGTTCTCAAAGTTCTCAAGAAACCATATTCTGATCCTGAAACTTTGTTTGGACCTGATGGATGTGGTGAGATGGAGCACAGTGGGGCGGAGCTTGATGTCGCATATGACGGGAAGCCTCCAGCCTGGGCACAAACAGTTTGTGTCACATGATCCTCGTAAAGCCTCCGAGGCAGGTGGAGGAAGGTCTGTAGGACAGCAATTTTACAAGCAAATGATATCTGTTGTTGCCATTTTGTTATCAACAACTCACTTATTTTCCATTTTCTTCTCAGACTGTATTTCCTGCTTCCTGTTAGGAGGATGTGATGCAGTCCTCTGTGTTCTGGTGTTCATTGTTGTGCAATTAGTTTGGTATTTGTGTGATCACACACTTTTATTTCAGTGTGCAAATGTGTCTGATGAAAAGACTAAAAAATAGACAAACAGAAACGTCACTGCTGATGAAGTATGATGGCTCAGGCTACCAGTCACACAATGATCTGCCTGGGCTTGAAACACAAATGAACATCAGGATATAGCTTAATAGTAACAAAATGAAGAAGTTTAAATTGCTGAACATGATATGATTAGTGGCATAAGCATCTGAGAATTTGTGGGTATTAGTTAATAACAATATATTGTTTGTTAAATAACATGATTTTAGACCTGTTAATTAAAGTCCCAATAAATCATTTGCAAATAATAGCCTGTATACTTTACAGCATTTCATTCCTAATTATTTTGTAATTTCTCAAATGTGTTTATTTTTTATCATTTGTTCACTATAATCATGTACATGTCTTACATTTACTCAGAAATAGTAATAGCAATACAGATAGATGACCGTTAGTAAGAAAGCCAGTGTGATTTAGTTACATACCATCTAGGGCAGGGGTCTCAAAGTCCAATCCTTGAGGGCTGGTGTCCTGCAACTTTTTCATGTGTTTTCATGTTGCAAAACTTCTGAATAAAATTAGTAGGTCATTAGCAAGAGTATAGAACCTGACTGCATGTTTTGAAGTGGCAACCCCTAACCCTACTCAAGTAAATTGAAGTAAATGTAAGTGTTTGGAAAAATGTACTTCTAAAAGTACTTTTATTGCAGCATGTTCATTCACTTATGCGCTGCTGTAACATGAATCAAATGACTAAATTGCCACCTCAGCATGCAGTCAAGTTCTATTGAGTCTTGCTAATGACCCTACCAATTATATTCAGAAGTGCTGCAACAGGGACACATGGAGAAGTTGCAGGACACCAGCCCTCGAGGACTTTGAGATCCCTAGATTCTAGGGATAATGGAGCACAACAAGTAGATAAAGGGAGTTCCTGTTCCAGTCATCAAATCATGGTATAGCCAGTTTTTCAATAAAGTAGGATTTATTTAATCATATTTATATAAGACAAATGTAAAAATAATCACAAGCATAGGAATGAGGACCAGGAGGGAAACACAGCTGGGACTAATCACACACACACAAACACACTTCTCAATTGAATTGAATTGAATTTTATTTATATGCCACCAAATTACAAAAACAGTCGCCCCAAGGCACTTTATATTATAAGGTATATAAGGTAAGGCTTATAACAATCAGGTCAGATTCAACTTTTCTGACAACAATAAAGTGAAATCTTACCTGATGTCTTTCATAAATTTATAATGTGAGTCACATTTATTTGTACAAAGCACTTTATAAAAAGGCATCTTGTCTTTTACTTTACATTATTATTACTTTATTACTGTAAGAAACCCCCAAATCCACATACAACCACCTTCAGTGGACTAGCTGAACCTGTTCTTCCATATACTGTACTGACTTCTATGAAAAATAGGCAGAAAGGGCAGGGGTAAAGCACTTACAGTAAACACCCGGCTCTTAACTGTGTGCAGTGAGAGCAGTTTCTATCTGATTACATGACTGTGAGGTCAGCAGGAAGTGGGTGAGACGACAACAACAACAGCAGACTAGATGAACTCAAAACTGAAAGTGCTTCTGCATTTGAACTCAAGCAGAGGATGGACAGAAGCAGTGCAACTAATTACACGACATGTAACTATGGCCCGTGTTCCAGAGCTGCTTCTTGGGATTTTGGAAGAAATGGTCGATGAGCAACTCAGGACTTTCCACTGGTACCTTTCAAGTAATGTGCTTGAGCACATTACTTGAAAGGATTCACACACATTCCAAAGTCTCGGGTTGATGGGATGGACAGAACAGGCACTGTGGATCTGTTGGTGCAAACATTTGGCTACGATGGTGCTGTTGCTATTACTGAGGATATACTGATGAGAATGAAACTCAAACTGTGGGCTGATACTCTAAAGGAGGATTATAGTAAAGGTTAAACATTTTTTACAGGTACAAACTTTAGTGTTTAAAGTTTGAAAGGCAAAAGAGCTTGGTTACATAACAGCTCTTTCTTTTCTTTGCTTCCTTATCAGTTCCCAGCAATCATGTGGACAAAAGTAAGAATATAAAGGACAGTCACACACATACATACAAGGTAATGTTTTTTTTGTTTTTGTTTTTTTTGCAAATCTCTTTTTATTAGCATTTTGTTTCTTAGTTAGAATTTGATCATAAACTAAATTAAAATTTAAGATTCCTATGTGAAACCAAAACCTTCATGTTGAAAATTTGTAGAGATTAGAACGTTTGTACACATAAAGGACAGTAATTTGGTTTTCCACTGAACCCCTCGTACAGATTATATGCAGGTAGATAAAGATAAAGCACACATATAATAATAATATTAATAATAACAATAAAAGTTACATCCATAAAAATCTACAGGACTACATGTCGTTGTTGTTATGGTTTCCAGATAAGAGACAGTTCTCAGAGAGTAAAGTCAATTCTTGCATCAGAAATGATAAACATTGACCACTTCTTCCAGTTCTGAGTAAAGAGCTGTAGTTTCAGTCGCAATGCGAAAGTTAATTTTTCCATTATGTATACTTTTTGAATTATGTTTGTCCAGTGAAGGAAAGTTGGGGCCTCAGGCTTAAGCCACAGCCTGGTAATGGCTTTTCTTGCTGCAGTAAGAAGAATCTTAGTTAAATATAAGTCCTCTCTTTTAACTCTATCATCAATATTTCCTAAAAATAAAGCAGTACAATCCTCAGGGACCTTGTAACCAAAGACTTTTTGTAAGGTATCATTCACTGTTTTCCAGAATGGGTTAATTTTAGAACAAGACCAAAAGATATGGGAGTGGTTAGCTGCCATTTCACCACAGTTTCGCCAACAAGGCTGCTGTATGCCCAACTGCTTACTCCTAATGTGAGGAGTGATAAAAAACCTAATAAGACATTTCCAATTAAATTCCCGTCACTGTAGGGGATTTGTAGACGTTTGAAGTGAACCCCATAACTGGTACCATGTTTCATCTGTAATTGATAGTTTTAGTTCCTGTTCCCATTTTGTCTTTACATATAAAGAGGTAAATCTTTGATTCTTCATCAAATTAGAGCATAATTTGGATGCTAGTTTAGTAGTTTTCTGCTGGTAGGCGTCGCACAATGTTTCAATTAGAGGGTTAATCATCTCAGCTTCAGCTATCTCTTTATTGTAATAATCTTGAAGTTGTAGATATCGAAAAAAATCCTGGTTTTCCAATTCAAACATGTCCTTAAGCTCTTGAAAGCTCCTAACTTTGTCCTTTTTGGTAATTAAACAGAGAGCAGTCATATTGTCCTGGTTTAAAACTCTTGTCCAAGGCTATCCATCTCAACTTCCTCCGGCCATTTTGCAGTTTTAAATGTTTGACAGTAGAGTACCACATTTGTAATGAAAACTGGGATATGGGATCGAGTTTTGACTTAATAATGTCAGTTAAGGTATTTTCTCCTAACAGTGTCTGGACATTATAGTCCGTGCTATCTTGTGTCTCAATCTGTTTCCACTTTGCAGTGTATGAATTATCACACCATAGGCATAAAGGGTAATTGTGCTGCCTGGAAATATAATTTAAGGTTGGGCACCCCCTTTGTCCTTTGGCAACTGCAGGGTGGAGAAGTGTATTCTTGCCTTTTTTGCCTCCCCATACGAATATCGACAACATTTTATCCCAGGCCTCGAACTGTTGAGATGGGATTTCAACCGGCAGTGCCTGGAAAATGTACAGCAGCCTTGGCATTATATTCATTTTTATCACATTTATTCTGCTGCTAAAGTCCAATGGGTATGTTGACCACCTCTCCAAGTCTTTTCTAATATCATCCGTGATTGGAAAATAATTTGAACTGTACAATGAACTGTACACCTCCTCCAAGCTGGAGGGAGAGGGAGGTCTGGGCCTCTTTGCTTAGGCTGCTGCCCCCACGACCCGGCCTCGGATAAAGCGGATGAAGATGGATGGATGGATGGATGGATGGATGGACAATGAAGCTGGGCTTCTTGTTATGAAGACACCCAAATATTTGATTTTTTTAGTTTTCCAATTGATATTAAAGCCTTCTTTAATTTCTTTGCTCGGTACATAATTGAAGTGAATCATTTGTGTTTTTGCGATGTTTAGTTTATATCCCGAGCATTCATGAAATTCTGCTATTACTTCCAGAAGCTTAGGAAGGGAGGTGTTCAAGTCCCTCAGATACAATATTACATCCTTCCTTTCCTTCCTTGGGGATCAAAGATACGATAGCATCATTCCACAACGGGGGTATCTGGCCATTCTTTAATGTCCAATTCAGAGTTCTTAGCAGGATATAGGGTTAAGCTTCTCCCGAAATACCTTTACCATTCTGCGGGGAACCCGTCACTGCCTGGGGTTTTGTTGGCTTTCAGTCTACTGATTGCCTTATTCAGTTCTTCTACTGTGATTTCCTTAGTAAGTACTTCGTTTTGGTTTTTCCCGATGGTAGGTAGATCTAGGGAGTACAAAATGTTTTTCATTGATTGTACATCTACATTTCCTTCTTGCAGATAGAGATTTTGGTAGTAATTGTTGAAAATGTTTTCTATTTCTTCCGGTTTAGTTTCCAACTTTTGAGTTATAGGGTTTCTAATTTTGTGTATTGCTGTATCTATCTGTTGTTTTCGCAGTCTGCGAGCTAATAATTTGGCAGATTTAGGGCCTATCTCATAATAATTTAGTTTCAAATATCTTGCCTTTCTTTCTGCTTCCTGATTCAATAAATTTTCTATTTGTATTTTAACCTCTAAAATTTGTTTCTGTGTTATGGTGTCCTTTTTAGTCCTGAAGATTTGTTCCAGCTCTTTTAAAAAAAAAATTCTTTTAAAATTATTCAGAAGCCCAACATTAAGGTGCCAAACCGTGTTCTTTGGAAGTGAGTCCAACTGAATTGTTTAAAAAATCGCATTATGCCCTGAGACATCCGCTACCCCGATTCTACAGTCTAACACTCTGTGACATTCTTCCTTTTGCATTTGAAAATAATCAGTCTGGGTGTGCACTGAGTGTGGAATTGAGTAATGTGTGTAGTCCCTTTGTGAAGGGTGCAGTAATCTCCAGACATCCACCAGTCCCGTTTCCTCAAGTGTCAAGTTTAAGTGTCTGCTTATATGTGTTTTGCATCTAGTTTGACTAGTCGTGTCCAAATTATAATTCAATATTACGTTGAAGTCCCCTGCACAAATACAAATTCCCTCTGCCTCCACTGAGATTAGGTCAAAAAGATCTTTAAAGAATGATTTGGGACTATTTGGTGGTGCATATATACAGACAAAAGTCAAGAC